GATAATCCATTAGCAGATTTCCTTGGCAGGTACCCCATGACTCTGGCATTTCAAACATCTTGGGGTCTCCAAGGCAATCCAGGCTTCACCTTCATAGCTTCACACAATGTCTTCTCTGGGCCTCCATACAGGGACATCCTTAACACATGCCTGGGCTCAGCAGCTTTCCTTAGTTACGGAAGGGAGATTCCATAACCCCTCTCTTGTATCCTTAACTCCAAAGCCAGAACCACATAGCTAAAGCTACCAAGTTCTGCTGCTTGCTGGGGCTTAAATATGCTGCCTCATTCAATTACATCTTCACCAGCTTTCTGTTTTTGGTGGTTTCCTTCACTGCCTAAACCTCTACCTTTTCTTTTGATTGGGACAGGATCTTACTCCCTAGCCCAGACTATTTTTGAATTAGCAGCAATCTTCCTGCCTCAGCCTTCCATTCATATTTTTTCATGGAAAAAAAGTACAATAGCATTTTCGAATAATCATGTGTATTCCTTGATACTTCATAAAAAGCTTGTAAGTAGGTGTTTCCCACAAGATTGGTGGAAACTGTATATGGAAGCTGAATCTACAAGGAACTTTCTGCATAATTATCTTAAAATCTTCTTGTCTACCTTACACTTTCAATGTACTTTCATATTTCAATGTTTATATATACAACACTAGGGGTTAAAAAAGAAACAGGATGAGAGGTGTAGTTAAGTGGCAGAGCACTTAACATGCATGAGGTCTAGAATTCCATTTCCACCACTGGGAGAGGGAAGAATTTTCTATAAATAACCAATGCTCTCCTAGAAGTAAACATTCTGTGTCCTCTATAGCAAAGGCCATCTTAGCCTCCTTGAAGATGTGCCTAACTTATCCTATAATGTCTATTAGTAATTGTAAGAAAACAAAGAGAAATGAAACCATGAAGACTTCAACTGTAGTTCTTTAAAAAATAAATGTTTATTTCAAGTATGAAAAGTAATGTCAAGACATCATCCAAAAATTCCATTCAGTTTAACAAAAGTATAAAACAAGACTTCTGAAAAAACCTTTACAATAAGGTACAAAATACTTAGGAATATACTTTTGACATTCACAGAGGCATTTTCTGAAAAATAAGTTTTGCTAATGTGCTTATTAGAAACAAAAATATATTTACAGTCCCAGTCAAATAAGTCCTTAGCTAATGAACAGTTATGTCAGCATAACAGCATTTCAAAGTAAGATTTGTATAAGTCACCTTCACATTCTTTTTGGTTGCCGTTGTTTTGTTTTTGGAGAGAGGGCCTCATGTAGTCTAAACTGGCCTCAATGGACTATGCTGCTGAAGATGACCAATTCTTGATCCTCTTGTCTCCATCTGCCAAATGTTAGGATCACAGGTGTGCACTACTGTCCCAACAAGACTTAAAATAGTAAACATGGTTCAATATATAGAAGATCACATACTTTGTAGTTCCCAGACAAATGCAATCTGTTTCTTTGCCTGCTCACCAGCAGCTAATCCAACATTTCAGTCACACAGTATCAATGAAAGACATGAGCTGTAACTGAACTCCTTGGCTGAGAAATCCAAATGTGAAAGTCCTGAGTTATTTCCAGCAAGGGAGCCTGAAAAGAAAAAGTTAGATAGCCGGGTGGTAAAGTAAAACCACTACATCCTGTGCCTATTTCACTGGACTGCTCCCGAGGCTTCTGCTTCTCTTCTCCAAGTACATTTTTTTGTAGGTCCGGAACATGACATTTGAGTCTTTTACTGGGTTTTGTAGCGTTTCAAATTCATCTGCACTGAAGCTTCTCTTAGAGAGTCTTGAATCAGCCCGATCTAAGAAAACAAAACTGATACTTAATGTTCAATATGACAAACATACACTGAAAAAAATGAGACAGGAAATGTGCATTGTGTGTGGGGGCAGAAAACTGAGGTAGATTGTTGAAATGGCAGTAAATGCCTATAACCACAGCATTTTCAAGGCTGAGGCAGGAGGATCTTCAGCTCAAGGCCAGTCTGAGTTTTTGTTGTGGTTTCTGTTTGTTGGATGGTTTGGTTTTTTGAGACAGGGTTTCTTTGTGTAGCTCTGGCTGTCCTGGAACTCGCTCTGCAGACCAGGATGGCCTTGAACTCACAGAGATCCACCTGCCTCTGCCTCCAGAATGCTGGGATTAAAGGCGTGCATCACCACCGCCTGGCTAGTCTGAATTTCACAACAAGAGCTTGCCTCAAAAACCAAAGGAAGAACTCAAGGGATGGTTCAGTGGTAGCTACCTTTAGTCCCAGCACTTGGGAGGTAGAGGCAGGTGTATCTCTGAGAAGAAGTCAGCTTCTACAAAGAGAGTTCTAAGTCAGCCAAGGCAACACAGTGAGACCTTGTCTCAAGGGGGAAAAAAAGAGCAAGAATGACACAAGTTTGATTCCCAGCACCTACACAGTGAGGGCTCACAACTGCCTGTAACTCAGGGGATCCAATGTCCTCTTCTGGACTCTGAGGGCACTACATCCAAATGCACATAATTCTCTCACCCAACATATACACTCACTAAGGAAGAGAGAAGATAACCAGAAGTTCAAGATCAGTATTAACTACATACAAAGTTCAAGGCAAGCCTGGGCTACATAAGACACCATCTTTTTTGTTGTTGTTTGTTTTTATCAAGACAGGGTTTCTCTGTAGTTTTGGTGCCTGTACTGGAACTCACTCTGTAGACCACGCTGACCTTGAACTCACAGAGATCCACCTAGCTCTGCCTCCCAAATGCTGGGATTAAAGGTGTGCACCACCATCACCCAGCAAGACACTATCTTTTTAATTAAAAAAGAAAAAGGGAAGGGAAGGGAAGGGAAAGGAAAGGAAGTGAAGGGAAAGAGAGGAAAGGGGAAAGGGGGAAGGAAGGGGAAAAGGAGAAAGGGAAGGGAAACGGAAGGGAAAAAGAAAAGAGCAATAAAGAGCTTGGCCAGTTCCAAACAGTGAATGTAAAGGGTTAACTTTAATAATCTACCTCTGAAAAGCCTGTACCTTCCCTTTTCATTTAACCCTTTAGTTTACTGTTCCATGGGTCTTGTCTCTCCTGCTTCCATGCATTTATAGCTGCTCTCTCTCACTTCAGGGGCCTCCTTCCCCTCTTCACTACACCTACACTTTTGATCCTGTGTATTCCCCTAACAGGCTGGCACTGAATGTCAAATCCAGAGCCTCAAGAATGCAAGGCAAGCACCCAACCTACTGAGTCATATCCCCAGCCCATTTTTTGTTCCTTCTTGGAGACAGAACTTTGTTTTGTAACCCAGGCTGGTCTCCAGTTCTCTATACTCCTCCTGCCTTATCCCCTCAAGTACTGGGGTTATAAGCATGAAACAGCATGGCTAGCTAAGCTTTTTCTTATGTGCATTATCTCAGTATGTCTATGACTCAGTTTGTACATGTTTGCCTATACATGTCTGAATCTCTATTCTCACCTTTGTCAAATTTCCTCCATAAAAAAATACAATTTTTTAAAATTAAAAAAAAAAATAGATGACTCAGTGATTAACACTGTATAACAGTGTAGTGGACCCAAGATCTATTCCCAGCATGCATATTGGTGGCTCAAAACTGCCTACAAATCCAGTTCAGGAGGATCTTACACCCCTGAGGGCATTCAGGTACACAGACCCAGAGACCCATACTCATACACTAATTAAAAATAATAAATCTTTTGGCCGGGCGTGGTGGCACATACCTTTAATCACAGCACTCAGAAGGCAGAGGCAGGTAGATTTCTGAGTTTGAGCCCAGCATGGTTTCCAAAGCAAGTTCCAGGACAGCCAGAGCTACAGAGAAACCCTGTCTCAAAAAAAGCAAATAATAATAATAATAATAAATCTTTTAAAAAGATTCTGTCATTGCTCTTAGTAAAATTAATCCCAATTTCAAGACTCTGAAACTACCTTTGCTTTTTTTTTTTTCAAGACAGGGTTTCTCTGTGTAACAACCCTAGCTGGCCTGGAAATCGATTTGTAGACCATGCTGGCCTTGAACTCAGAGGAATCCACCTGCCTCTACCTCCCAAGTACTGGGATTAAAGGTGTGAGCTACTACCACTCGTTAAAAGGCTTCTTTTAAAATAAGCAAAACGAAGGCAGAACTCCTCAGATCTACTCTATGAAATACATTCATTCCACTTTAAATTAAACGGAGGATCCAGTTAACACAGTTCCTGCCTAATGTGCACAGAACCCTGGACTCTATTCTTAGCAGCACATAAACCTTCAGCATGTGAGAGTGGAGGCAAGAGGATCAGAAGCTCACAGTGAGTACAAGGCTGAGCCCAATCTCCAACAAACTGAAAGCTACCAGGACAACCATCCTTTAGTCCTTTAAAACACTTGCACCGCTATCCTCAATGAACTCTGAAGAGAGAGACCAGGTTCAAGTTCCTAATCTAGCAACGCAATAAGCCAGATGACAAATGGGAATGTCCTTGCCTATCTTGTTTAGGGAATTGAATGAATGAGCCTGCAAATCAGCAAATGGAGGTTGGCAGACATTACTGGAGGCCAATCCAGCCTGCCACAGATCTTAGGGAAGAGTTTAATCACAATTACACAATATTCTTATTCACATATCACTTGACACAATGTCAAAATTGAGGTCCGCTCAGGTCCAGAAAATTCAAGACTTTATGTCAAAACTCACCTAATTCAGTGTATTATTTTTCTGTTAAAAGGAACTAGATCCTGGCCTCCCACTCCATCCTGACAGAGAAAACAGAACGCTATCCTACCTTCAGAAACAAACACCAAGGGACTAAAAAAAGAATATAAATAAAATCATGCATTGAGACAGTACTGTGATTATATCCATGTTATAGACAAGCTGGTAAATCAAAACAAAAAATGAAAACAGATGGTGTTTTACCTATTTCTTGACTTGATTCAGACATCTTTGTCCTTGTAGGGATGCATTTTAACCAGTCTTCTTTTGTAGTTTTTATTCCTGAAACTGTTTAAATATTTGTTTTCAGATATATAATCTTTATTCCTCCTCTATTTTAGCACAACGGAAAAAAAAAAAAAAACCTACCTATATATTACATCATGGGGTATCTTATATTATACCTATATACCATATGTAATGTAACTTTTTTAAAGAACCTGAAAAATTATTTTTACCAGGTAAGGAAATTGAATATTTTATAATAGGTAAATGAATTGTTTCTAATTTTCACACTAAATAAACATTTCCTCATCTGGGCTGAATCACCAACATTTCTCAGGGTATTTATTTAAAGGTATGAGACAGGAAGTCACTCATTGCCCCTGTTCAATTCCAAATTCCCAGTTACACTCAAGGTCTCAGATTCTAAAAACCTAATAAAAACGCCTATTGAAATGATCCTTTTGGTTCTAATTTGATTTGTTTTGAGATAGGGTCCCATTATGTAGTTCTGGAGCTTACTACAACCAATCTGGTCTCAAATTCAGAGATCCACCTGCCTCTGCCTCTTACATGTTGAAATTAAGATGTGTGCAACCATGTCTTATTTTGAAATCAGTCATTTTAAACAAAATTATTTTTGTCTTCTATACCTATCACTTTCCACAAAAAGTACTGTTTATGCTATAGCTTCATCACCACAGATATACTCAGAAGAAAAAAAAAAGAGACAAAACTAAAATTTCAACTAAAAGACTCGTTTTCCAATCTGAGTTTCAATGCACAATGTATCAGCTATAATATCTACAACTTCAAAACCTTCTCTTATAACCATAACTATTCATTCATTTTCCCCTTTAATTGTACACTTCATGGAGATAATACCTATGACTCACGACTGCGACTCTGGCTTTTTCACTATTCTTAGTTTTTGAGATGACATCTTATAGCCAAGGATGGCCTTAAACTCCCAGGATTCTTCTGCCTCTAGCATTCCATATGTACCACTCTGCCAATCATTATTTAGACTTTGTAATTAGAGATTAATTTGTTCCAAGCAATTACAGCTTCTACAGGTCTTCTGTTTTATAAGTAGACTAGATGTTACCATTTTAACTTGGGGATAACATCTTCATCCTAAGTTTCAAAGATGGCAACAAATTGACCCATTAATTAACACGTACATTACCTCTCAATATTTGGAACAAAGTTTCACATACAGGCTGCTTTGAAATTACCAGTACAAAAGGAAACTAAATCCAAGACACTAGTTGTGGCTGCGGTTCAGTGGCAGAGTGCTGGTGGTTTGACCACCAATACCACAAAACCAAAACTTCTTGAAACAAATATACACTTTATACTTTTTAAACTTGTACCACAAGAAATGCTTTTCAGTGTAGTTTCTTAGGGACTTAATAAAATATTTGTGTTCAGGAAATGTTTGGAAAATTTGCCAGTACTAATTTACTATAATTTAAAATAAAGGGCAACAAACACAAAACAAATGCTGCTCGATGAACACTGACTCACTGTCACCCCAACTCTAACCCATCCCATTCACGCACTCCTAGGACTACACCTCTATGGGTGCCTCACACATAAACAAATCACTGGTTGGGCCCTGTGGCCTACATTCCTACCAATTGGGAGATAAAGACAAGAGGATCAGAGTTAAAAGGCCAACCTAGATGATTTAACGCCAGCCTGAACCGTGTGAAACTGTCCCCCCACCCCCCATGAAGAAATCATACTGAACCTTGCACAGGGGCTTGATCCTGCCCAGGCCCAGGCCCAGGTGCATCCTGCTTATCAACAGAGCTTGTATTCTTCAACAGCACATCTGGACATAATTTAAACTCCAACATCTGTTTGTCTGTGTCATCTTTTGTCATGGGTGTATATGCCCTACTCTTCTTTTTCTCTTTACTAAACTTCTTGGATGCACTGTCCAATTTGGTGAGACAAATGCTTTCCCGTTCTGTGCATTTAAATGCAACCCGGTTCAGGTACTGTTTCCTTTGTTCCTTTACCTGGAGAGGTATCTGGCTGGACTTACTCATATTGGTCAATCTTTCTAATTTGGTTTTATCAATATAGGCTTTGTCTGGCTGCTTCCTATCAAATTTTCCTTTACTATTTCTTGACACACTGTATAGCCTTGACTCCTCAGAATGGTGGACTTTGGGATTTTTGCCATGGCTGGAGGAATTACGTTCTGGTTCTTTTGAGGGCTCTGCACTGACACCCTGCCCCTCAATTAACTTTCCCCAGCTTGCTGGTGCAGAATGCTTACTGGACTTCATGGGCTCAGGGTCACACGGCACATTCTCTACACAGATGTTTTTGGAAGCATTATTCCCTATTATATGTTTGTCTTTCTGCCGTTGTAAATATTCCTGCACGGTTATAACTCTGGTACTCTTAGAGGAGCTGCCCTTTGAGTCTGAGGACTCAGAACTTGGCACTGTCTTTTCTTTAATACTGGTGCTTTCGTTTGGTTCTGTCAGAGTGCTGCACAGTTTGAGTGTGTCTCCAGTGTTTTTGTTTTGCTCTTGTTTTTCATATTTCTTCTTTTTTATTTCCACATCTGGGATAAGCACATGGTCTGTTTTTCTTTTTTCAAAATATTTCAGTCTGGAGCCACCTGCTTTGAATTTTAATTTTTTCTTTTCTGGTGACACTGACTGCACCAAAATGCTATTCCTCCTGCATGGATCTTTATTTGGCAAAAGTCCTGCATGTGCTTTTCCTGGACCTGAATCTTGAGATATGTGTTTTTTCTGTAGGCTTTCCTGAGAAGCTTGTTTAGAAAATGCCAGCATATTTTTATCAGAGTTGGAAGTTATCACATGAGATATTTCAGGGGTTGCTGTTTTATTGCTTTTTAAGGGATTTGGTCCGTCACATTCAAATGAAACATTTTTTACTTTTTGCTCCATTTTCAGTGAGCTATCTTGTTTTGTTTTATATTCATCTTTATCTTTCTTGTAACACTTAACTGAAAAATGACCAGTAAATTCCTGTTCCACCCTTGGTGAACTGCTGTCTTTTGTTTTAGATGTTTTTATCTTTTCACCACGTATTTCAGAAAAATGGCCTTTCTCAGCTGCTTGGATCAGAGGAGTTTTTGAGTTATCAGACATAGGATTAATTTCAAAAATAGTGATTCCACTACTGCAGGACTGCTCTCCTTGTTTGCAACTGTCAATCTCCAAAGAACACCGGTCTTTCTCTTTCTCCTCCATAGAACTGCAATGACACTGAGGCACACCTTCATAAACCATTGAGAGCCAACCCAAGGCACAGCAATGGATTTTGTTCTTCTCCAGGTCCAACATTCCAGGGTCATGACTTTCTTCTCTGGAGACCTGTGAGTCACACAGGCTCTTTACTTCTGCATGGACTTTTCTATTCTGAGGTTCTGCCAATTTGTCTAAGACACAGAGCTGATCCTCTTCAGGAAATAATTCTTTGATTTGTTCTGAGTTTAATACTGTAATTTTTATTTGGTCTGTGCTATCCCCAGACACATTACCAATTTTATTACCAGTCTGATTTTCTGAGATTTCATTTGTCTTTTGTTGGCCCACAGAAACTTCATGTCTGGTCATAGTTTCAATGCCATAAGGGAACTCTTTTAGAAGTTCTGACAGCTGGTCATGTAGGTATGAGACAGATTCATTTTCATCATTAATCTCATTTATTTCAGGAAGACTGTGGCCTGACTTATTGCTGACCATATCAGTTTCCTGAGGGTGAGGATCTTGCTGAACAACAGCTGGTGAACACACATCCTTAGCTGTTTCTTTTCCACCAATGTTCTCCTTACTGCTTTCCTCTAGACTTTCTCTGTGTGCTCCAACATACTCACTAGATGCTGGCTCTACAGGCTGCAGCAGCTCTGGCTGCTCAGTGACTTCATGAGGAACATCTGTACACTGCACACACTTATCTTTCTGAAAACCAATGTCTTTATTTTTAGTAGTGTCACCTACTTGTTCTTCTTGTTGACTATTGATTACCTGCTGATTAGGTGAAGGCTTCTGGGGTTCATTTTGTACAGAGTTGAATATCTCTGCTATCTGGGAATTGTAGGAAACATCACCTTCTGCAAGAGAACAGATACTTTCAATCTGTAACATGGGCCCACTCACAATGGTGCTGTCACTAGGGTTAGGCAGAGCTTCAGCACCCAGGGGAGAGTGTTTTCCTAGGCTGCTATCAGCTATGTCTAGATCATCCTGTGTTGGTTTGTGCTGCTTTTCCTTAGGCATGGGCATGGAAAGCTCAGCTGATAGAGTAGTACTTGCTACTGCTCCTGTAACATCAAAGGGCAAAGCAGCAGCTACTGTTGTATTTTCTGGCTGCTGGTTTTGTAAGCTACAAACACTGCCTTCCTTAACAACTGGATACACAGTTTCAGGTACAACCTCAGGTGCTAATGCTTTTCCAGGTAAGGCATTGATATTCGAAAGAATTAAGGGTGACACCACAGCAATTTGAAGCTCTGTTCCTTTTCCAACAGCTACATCTGAAGACTCGTAACTCGGTGTGAGAACGGACATGACGGCTTGTGACGAGCTGGTCATTTTCTGAGAATTTCTAACACCTGAACAAAAATTCTTAACATGAACTTCATTCGTGGGATTTGAACTGCCAACTGCTATTGTACTGGTTCTTGATGCATTATACTGTTTTTCTTCTAAAGGTTTTGGAACATGTTCTGTGTTTTTTGGAGGCTGGTTTTTCCAAAGCGAAAGACATGTTGCTAGCAATTCCATGGAGCAGTGACCATCACTTTTAGCAGACATTTCTTTTGCTGAAAATTGAGAGTGCTGAGTTGGTTCAGTATAAGAATTATTGGCTTTTTTACTACAACCAGCTGCCATCAAAAGATCTTTATTAATTTTAATTTTTCTTGCAAGTTCTGAAAACTTCTTTTTGATTTCTACTAGTGATTTAATATCCCTCACCAGCTTTTCTTTTGTGGCATTTGTGTCTATTACTTGATTTGTACTTGGATTGCAGGAATACTTTCTTTCCTCTTGATTATTCTGAACAAGAGTCTGAAGACCATCCCCAGAAGAACTAACAGAGTCACTGTAAGACTGTTTTATTTTCAACTCACAGAATTTTCCAATGGTGCTGACGTTTTTATTAGTGTTCTGCCACTGCTGTTGAAAGCCTTTGTAAGTATCTTTCTTTTTTTCAGATGAGTGTATTTCTGAACTCTGAGGAACTTCCAGAGGCAAATGTCTAGAAATAGGCTGAGAATTTTGCACTTGTTGGCTTCCATATCTACAGCTGTAAGGGCGGGCAGGGAGTCTTTTGCTGGCTTCTGCAGCATACTGATATGATGACACAGGTACAGGATGCTTTGACTGTAACGACTGTGTAGAAGGTGGAAGCTGATTATTTTTAACTTGTAATGATGTAGATGGCACAAAGTTTTGTTTCTGAACAGAAGGGTCTTGCACAAAGTTTTGTGGTAAATAAGGATATTGCTTTGTAGGTGTCCTGTAATCTGGGTAAGTAAGTTCATTGGATGTGCACTGTGTCCAGTCAACCAGCTGATCTGGTATCGAGTGGTTAAGTCCCTGATTTCCTTGATAATTTCCTTGATAAGTTATAGGAACTCTTACAGAATTTGAAGGAGTCATTTGTAGTTGCACAGAATAGGTATCTGATGTGACAAGCTGACTCTGTGGTGCATGCACATAAGGCATATTAGTCCCACCATCAGGTTTATGGGATACGGTTGCCTCTGTATGAGAAGGCATAAAATTCCTCATTGGTGAGTTCATCCAGACATTTTGCATAACTCCTGAAGACACTGTTTGCAAATTGTGGTTTGGTTGTTGGGCTCCTTTAACATTTGTGTACGTGACTCTTTCTACTGAAGTCTGTGAGGCCACAACAGTCCTATTATGCATATTGGAGATCTGAGGAGTTACATAACTCCTGACGTTCAGAAGTGGCTGTGAAGCTGAATTTGAATTACTGGGATACATGCATGCTTCTTGGTTCTGTGCAAGACAGCTGAAAGAACTTTGAGAAGTTGTGGAAGGCATTAAAAACTGCTGCAAAACAGATGACTGGTTTTTAGAATACGGTGGTGGGTTTTGGGTAGCATTCTCTGGCTTTGCATTCCAATTCATAGTTGATCTGATTTAGTAGTAGTACTGTTGTAGTCTGTGGTTTTGAATGTCACAAATCTGCAAGAAATACAAATAAAGATCTTTTATTGAAAACTTTTCTCCCGGGGCTGGAGAGATGGCTCAGAGGTTAAGAGCACTGACTGCTCTTCCAGAGGTCCTGAGTTCAATTCCTAGCAACCACATGGTGGCTCTCAACCATCTGTAATGAGATCTGGTGCCCTCTTCTGGCGAGGGTAAAACACTGCATACATAATAAATAAATTTTAAAAATAAATAAATAAAATAAAATTTTTTTTCCCCTACTCCCCCACTTTTTTTGAGACAGAATCTTTCTGGCCTAGAACTCCCTCTGTAGACCAGACTGGCTTCAAACTTGTGGTAATCACTCTGCTTAGACAGAATTTCAAAGAAAAATAGAAGCATATTATATCTAAGGTAACTACAAAAGGACCTCACATTAATAAGCCATACCCAGATAGAGCAGTAGTAATGGGAGTTGCAACATAATTGTGCCAATTGTCAAAATCAATGAAATGTGTAAAAACTGACTCCACAGAAAGCAGCTGTCACCTGTTAAATTAAAGTAGCACTTTTCTGCTTTTACTTATTTTTTGAGGTGAGGGTGATGGACTTAGAGCGACTCAAGCATGCTAAACATTCACTCTACTCATAAACTGTATGTCTGGACAATGTGGAGAGACCCTATCTGAAAAATGAAACAAAATCTAAAACATCTTTTAAAACACAAGGAATCCTAACAAACACAATCTACTGTGTGTCTGTTTTTCATATCACAGGCAGGCTATTATATTTCACTAAAAATGCCTCTACCTGCATAGCATTCAACCTTATGGCTATATCACTTGTGATATACCAAGACATTTGAGTCAGGTCTGGCTATGCATGTCCATAATCCCAGCACTCAGAAAGCTGAAGCAGGAAGACATTAAGTTCTTAGTTCTAGCTAAACTATAGAGTGAGTTCAAGGCCTACCCGGGCAATTCAGTGAAGCCCCATCTCAAAATAAAAAGTTAAAACTGTGAGGATCCAGATGGTCTACAGTTCCTTTTTCAAGTACAAACCCTGACTGAGGTGTGGCTACATGACTTCAGAAAGCTACAGGCATGAGATCATGTCTAAGTCTAAGGAAGAATGTCCTTCAGCATACACAAGACCACAGGAACAGAGAAGTGTGGAAGAGGGACTCAGAATGGTACAAAGGGGACGACTGGCATTCAACTCTATTGTTAGTCGATAGCTAAACTGCTATAGATACAAATGTGGCGCACGCCTTTAATCCCAGCACTCGGGAGGCAGAGCCAGGCGGATCTCTGTGAGTTCGAGGCCAGCCTGGACTACCAAGTGAGTTCCAGGAAAGGCGCAAAGCTACACAGAGAAACCCTGTCTCGAAAAACCAAAAAAAAAAAAAAAAAAAAAAAACAACTGTGGGAAAATAAAACTTATTCATTCTTGAAATAAAGCCAGAATCATAGTCCTATGTCTCTGTCTACCACTGCCCCCCTTTCCAGAACCCTGTGTGTCCAAGGCTGTGCTAGCCTAGCCATAAAAACGAAAAAGAAAAAATATCATTTGACCTTTGTCCCTGGGTAGAAAACATTACATCACTTGCAGTGCCATAAGTAACAGGAGCACCTTCTTCTACTTTCTTTTGTCAAGAGCTTCTTTTGCTCACATTTGAGTGTGTACTACTGATAAGAGGAAGAACTCAAGGCAGTCTCAGGAGGCACTCAGCACCAACAGCACAGAACTTTCAACCCCACCCATAGCTTTAGAAAGCAGGAAGAGCCAGAGTTTAACACTGCAAGCATCAGAGTAAACTTCGATACAAGGCAGTGCTACAGGATAGTGTACTCTGCCTAGAGATGGAGACCCTACCCACCCCTTGAAAAAGGGTGGCCCTATCCACTGCATCTGAGTATAGTAAAGAAAGAATTGTTACAAGATACCCCTTAAATTTGCAATCAGTTGCAGGTAGTGCAGGACTCCAAGGAATGGGAACTGGGACAGTCTTGTGGTAGTGAGCCCTTTAACTAGTAGAATTTGATGATACAGTACTGAATGGGAGATCAGGATACCCAGAAGGCATGTGCACAAAACTAAAGAAGTTGGCAGGGAGAAAATTCCCTGTCTCACAAGTGTTGTGTGAAGGTAAAATACAGCACTGCAACCACATGGGTCATGGGAAGGGACACACTAGAGTCACTGGCACAACAAGAAACAGGCCATGGAAACAAACTTTGGGAGAAGTTTAACTCTGGACTCCAGGCTGCAGAGATGAGAACACTGGCTGAGCACCTCACTAGGTCATCCAGGACAGTACAAAATATATCGGTATTTTACTACTGTCCCAGTTCTGAACAGGGGTCCCCAAATATCTACACATTTGAGACAGGGTCTCACTATGTAGCCATATCTAACCTTAAACTTGTAGTTGTAGCATGAATCTTAAAAGTTCTTATTAATAAAATCAAACCTGAGGCCAGTTATTGGAGTGAAATGCTGGAAGGTCAGAGAGACAGAACAAGCCACAGTTAACCTCACATGAGGACACAGAAGCTTCCAGTCTGAGGAAAGAAGACCAGCTGAGAAGTTAGCCATGTGAGGTTAGCTGTGGTTTGTTCTGTCTCTCTGACCTTCCAGCATTTCACCCCAATAACTTGCCTCAGGTTTGATTTTATTAATAAGACTCTCTAAGATTCATGCTACAATACCCAGTGTGGGAACACCAATTACCTTATATAAACTGCCCTAAACCAGCTTCTCAGCAAGACACATTTTGTGACTATCTTAGTCACTATTTTGCTATGAAGAGACACCATGACCTTGGAAACTCTTACAAAAGAAAGTGTTTAACTGAGGCTTGATCACAGTTTCAGAGGGTCAGTACATATCATGGCAGGGAATGTGGTGGTGAGTATGGTGCTAAAACAGAAGCTGAAAGCTATACCCTGATCCATGAGGGGAGGGGAGGGGAGGGGAGGGCAGAGGAGGGGAGGAGAGGGCAGGGCATGGGAGGGGAGGGGAGGGGAGGGGAGGGGAAGGAGAGAGACTGACTGGGCCTGGCCTGGGCTTTTGAAACCTCAAAGCCCCTCCCCTGCCAGTAACACACCTCCTCTAACAAGGCCACACCTCCTAATCCTTCTCAAATAGTGCCACTCCCAGGTGACTAAGCATTCAAATATGAGCTTAAGGGTGCCATTCTTATTCAAAACACCACTGTGACAGAACTGTCCATCTCATTGGACTAGCTTTCTGAATTAGTCACATTTTGCCAAAATACCTTGCCTCTTAATTTAACTAGCCTGTCTTGTGAAGAAACAGAAAAAAAAAAAAAAAACATACTAGTTACTCAAGGACATCCTTCTCACAGCTAGCACTCAATGGGAGTTCCTGGGAGTCCTTCCATTGGCCAACAATTCTGTTCACTAAGTCTGCTGGGCCAGAAAGAATGGAAACCACTCAGTTGCCAACTAATTCTAAAATTTAAGCCATCCTAGTCACAGTATTTGTCCACTGTTCTAGGCATGTGTTGTGTGCCAGACTGACCTAAGGCTTCTCCAGAGGCCCTGCTAAAGGACAAAGGGAACTAGTTCTGTGTCCTTGCCCAGAGGCAGACTTGGCAAAGGGCCAACGGCCTCAAAGGAGTTAAGGTTTCAGTTCCTAAGAACTTGACTTTTCCCCCTGAAGAATACTAGAGTTATCAGTCTCAAGGACGCTGAGTGCTCAGTCAGTGATGCAGCTGAGATATCCTGGTCTCTTTGTACAACATTGCTTGACTGATTCGCTTTCAGCTGACTTGCCCCATTGTAAGATAGCTTTCTCCTGACTCTCTCCCATTTCCCCCTGCAGATCATATATAAGATGCTGTTCTTAATAAACTTGCTTGGCATAACTTGTGCGTCAAGACCACCACAACTCAGTCTTCCTATCTTCTTCATTTTTCATTCCCTCGTCCTCCCTCTCAGGAACCTGTCACTGAAGAATGACCTGCTAGTCCAGGTCCAGTAGAATTTAAATACATAGACTTGTCAGGATTTATAGCAGTCTTTAGTGCCAGAGTGAACAGTAAATTTCAGTCATGATGCCCAGGCTGACCAACAACTCATTATATAGCCCAGGCTAACCTCAAATTTGTGATCCAATATGGTGATATTTTATTTGTATTAAAATATTATTTGTATGTTAATAAATAAAGTTGCCCGGGGGTCAGAGCTATTAGCAAGCCATAGGAAAGCAGGGCAGTGGTAACATACGCTTGTAATTCCAGCACTTGGTAGGCAGAGCTGGGTAAGTCTCTGTGTGTTCAGGGATATAGCCATTATTGGATACACATGCCTTTAATCTTAATACCAATCATGGAAAACCTGGAGGCTTATACAGACAGGCTGTGAGGAGGCGGTCATGTGGTTGGGTTTACAACCAATGAGAAGGCAGGACAGGACCTCTATATAAAGACTTTAACACAGGGATAGCTCTGGTTCGGAGAGGTAGGACCACCGCAGGAGGAAGGGTAAGGTTTTAGCTCTTAGCTCTGACCTCTTGGCTTTCTTCTTTGCATTGGTTCTGTGTTTATTATTTAATAAGAAGGTTGGATACATCTACAATCCAAGGCCTCAGCCTGAGAGTCCTGGTATTACTGGCCTATGCCAACAGTCAGCTTTAAAAAAAAACAAAAACAAAAACAGTGTGTGTGTTGAGACAGGGTCTTATTATATAGCTCTGGATGGCCTAGAACTCACATTATATACCAGGCTAAACTCAAACTCAGCGTTCTACCTGACTCTGCCTCCCAAGTGTTAGGATTAGAAGCATTCACCATCATGCCTTGCTCAACTATTTTGTAATAATAAGTCAACTATTACCATGATTTACAAAAAAATTAGAAAAGTCACTATTTTATTTGGGGTGGTGGTGAAAATATTAATGCTAATATGTAAAGATATACTATCATTTCTAAATGAGTTGTGTTATTAATTTAACCTGTATAAAAATATGTACTTTCAAAGCTTGAATTTTTTTAAGGGTTTACTTTTATT